ACGAGCGAACCGCGCTGGGACTCCCCTTTAACGTCTCGCGAAGATAGCTCTCTCATCGGGCAAAGACTTTCGCGTAGTTCCGTTTAACCCTTCGCACTATCGGGTCACCTCTGCTGTCAATACTATTCATAACACAATTTCCAAAGAAAATATCTATATTCTCACGTTACACGTTTCGTGAACAATCGTTAATGAAAGTCTAAACTTCGAACGACTACTAATTCCTTCGTACCAAACAAGAGACAACACCAGAGGAACTCGAACAATTCTAGTGCAAAGGGTTAACATTCGTTCGCATTCAGCGATTTCCCTTCTAGAAAAATATTTATCGGGAGCAAGATTCGATGATCCGCAAGATGGCGCGGATATGGGCCCTATTTCTTAACCCTTTGCCGTACGACTGTCTCGTTATCGAGAGTACAAGGAAGCGATTGTTCATTGTAATTGTCCATTTAGTTCAAAGATAAAACATCGTCAATAGTCTTTCGCATTTTACAGCTACATCCGAATAACATTTTTCTTTAAATTCTCTTCATTTAATGTTCCACGGTGAAGCTAATCGATTGCACGGCAAGGGGTCAAAGGGGAAAGACCCGCGGGGTCCGCTCGCGATTGAATTTGTCCGGTGAACGGACTCGCAACCTTTCGGGCTCGCTCCTCGACTTCGTCGCGTGTCCGCTCGTGAAGAGTTGCACGACCGTCCCGTGAACCGGAAGCGACCGGCTGCTCATCACTTCCCTCCTCGCCAATATGATTCCCTCTTGTCTTTCGGTACAATGTTCGTAACGTGCACACGAGAAGGAGAATGGAGACAGAAGGATAGAGAGAGAGAGAGAGAGAGATAGAGAAAGGGAGGACGGGGTAAGGTTGGCTGAGAAGGAGGGAGAGAGGGAGAGCAGGAGTAATGTGTTATCGTGTCGGGACTGATTCCCGACGAGGTCCATGTTGTTCCGTTGAACATGCGATACCAGGCAATTACGAGAGTCGGTAGAAAATCGTGGTTCGTTAAGATCGGCGTCCGCGGTTCACAGTTTTGCTCGTCCGACGTCCGATGCGCGCGAACGTTTTCTTAAAGCTTAAACGCGAGATACAGCCGCGCGTGTAGAGTTCGTACAGTTCCGAAAGGGTAAAAGTTGCGCATCGTCGTTCCGAGGTGAAAAATAGTGGATTACTTTACTTTTCTGCTTTTGGTCGATTTTGTAACTAGCCCCATATCTTTTGATTCGAAATCTCCGCGGGTAAGCATTTGAATCCTTCTTAATTAATAATCGTAATGACAATCATAAAAGGGACGCTCGAGTCCGTAAGCCTCTATATATAGCAACGTACATATATGTATATATATTAATTAACGCACGATAGTTATTCTCGTGTTTATTCCCTCCTCTTCCGATGGTTTCGGCTTATTCGATTCCGAGAGCCACGTCGATGACAGCGGAATGCCGAGCCGCGCTAGGCGCGAAGCATCTTCAACTGGGTAAACGCGGAACGAAAATTCAATGGCGATTCGTTGGAAGTGTCATTGATCGAATAACTGTGCAACAGAGCTTGACGCGTTCCTCGGTGAGAGCTCGTAAGGATCCGTTACGGTAATTAAAACTTGTAGAAACAGCAGTGCGAGAAACAATGTCTGGCTCGTGTAAAAATAGATTAAAATCGAGATTGAAGTGTAAAATCTTCTTAAACGATAGTTCGAACCGGTGATCGGGATAGACTCGAGAACGCCGCTCGTGTCATCAGTTACTCGATCGTGCGGTCAGTTCCGAATTACTGCTAGGAGTCGCGTTCCTTTTGTTTCCTTTTCGAATATTCGAGAATCATATTTCGCTAAATTATACTTTACGATTGCACCAACAAAGA